GTCCCAAAGCTCTAGTTTCTCGCTTGCAGAATTTGATTCAATTGTGGCTGTAACAATTGCACCAAGCACTGGAAAAAATTCTTGACTGACTTCTGCATAAATAATTATTGGATTGGGAAAAGTATTTGTATCACTGCTTAAGTAGGACTTCACAATTACTGGAGGCTCCGTTAGAGATGCCGCTCGAGACGTTACTGTGATTGATAGCACCTGAGGCGTTGAGTGTGTATTAAAAAGTGTATAAGTCCAATCACCTGTCTGCAGATAAAGATTTGGAACTAAAATTGGAGACTTCACAATTGATCATAAATTGGCTTCTGCTGCCCAACTCTTTAAAATTCCTACAAATTCCCATAAATGGCTATTTATTCTTAAGAAATATAGTATGCAGAGAAATCAAAACTACATTGATATCTCACAGACCATGATGAATGAATATTTAATAATATTTTACTTCCAAATCTTTATCTGCAGACAGGTGATTGGACTTATACACTTTATAATACACACTCAGTGCCTCAGGTGCTATCAATCACAGTAACGTCTCGAGCGGCATCTCTAACGGAGCCTCCAGTAATTGTGAAGTCCTACTTAAGCAGTGATACAAATACTTTTCCCAATCCAATAATTATTTATGCAGAAGTCAGTCAAGAATTTTTTCCAGTGCTTGGTGCAATTGTTACAGCCACAATTGAATCAAATTCTGCAAGCGAGAAACTAGAGCTTTGGGACAAAGGTTCTGGTAAGTATACTTGGAAAAATGTTTGTATTGTATATTTTTCAGGTGATCTGCGTGCGTAATATTCCAGAAGTAGGAATTTACTCACATGGACTCAGATAATTGTCCTACTACTGTTACTCTAACAGGCCTGTCAAACTGGTGGCCTGTGGGCTGGATATGGCCTGCACAGACCATGCCCATCCGGCTTCACAAAGGCAAAAAATGTCAACACGGGGCTTTATTCTTTGGGTGGGGGGACTGTAGGCAGAAGTCTGGGAGAAAATGAAGGAGAAAATGAAACAATTGTATTTATAACATTGTGAGATTCTATCATTATTTTGTTTGATATAAAGATTAGCACATAATTATTAGAAATACTTCTCACTCAACACTCAGCCCAGAAAAACCAGGCCAGAAAATGAGGAGTATTTTGGTACTTACGGTATTCCAAGTCTTGTGAACTCCTTCATTAGTCATTGATTTCAGTAGAAAAGCACAGAGATTTGGGCAAACCAAGGTACAAAAATTTACGCTACTGAAACTTAAGATAATGTTTGTTTTTTTACCATACAATTACTACAATTCAATTGACATAACATTGCTTTTCAGTGTTTGTATATTATCTTAGGTATCTACACTTAAAAATATAATTATACATGCCTGTTAGTTTGAAGTTTGGAATATATCTCTCATGATGAGTGAATATAGACATGTTACATACAAAAAAAAATCATGCATGGCATATACCATCTGTGTGATATCTCGCTTAGAGAAATTACAGTCTGATAAATCTTTAGTCATTAGATCATTGGATACATTCTTTATGCAACACCATTTTCCATGAACACTTATAAGATATTCTGAGTATTTTTAACTAAAATTTATGGACATTCATCTTAAACAACTCTGAGTGGTTTACAACAATATTCAAAATTAGCTCATCATCCTAGATTTAGGAATCTATAAACTATGGATTCCTAAACTGCCTCAGGAAAACTATGCCAATACCATTGTTGCATAGAATCTAACACCCAAGAATTATAGAATTAGAAGTCATTTTGACAAACTTCAAACCATAAACAGCTATTCTTTGGTTCTGAATGTAAACAATCATAGATTTAAACATTTACTTTGATGAAAACAGGGATAGATACAACTTAGTTTTGGTGTCTTTTCTACATTATCCTGGATGTTAATTTTTAATATTTTTGTTTCAAGGTGCAGATATTATCAAGAACGATGGGATCTACTCAAGATACTTCACATCATTCAAAGAAAATGGTAGATACAGCATAAAGGTGCATGTCCAAGGGAGAGATGGGACCAGCCGACAAACTCGCCAAAGAAATCACGCTTTATATGTCCCAGGCTATATAGAGAATGGTAAAAACTATGAAAAAACAATAATGTAGTATAACTGTATTATTAATTACATAACTTCAAGTTGTTTTGGGCTCCTAGAAGCCACATATATTTTCTCAATCATGATCTATCATGAAGACCTAACCTGATCTTTCAATTTTTCCATCACCACAATAACTGAGTCCATCAACCTTGGTACTGGTCCTCTTCTTCTCTTTACTTCTACCTTTCCCAGTATTATAGGCTCCTCTAGAAAGCCAGGTCATTGCATAATGAGTCTGAAGTAGGATAATTTGAGTGTAATCATTTTAAACCTCTGAGTTGATGTTTGATCCATTTGTTTGTCCATAGTATTCTCCAACATGAAAGTTCAAATACTCTTCCTATCTTGAAGTCCAACTTTCACTTCTGTAGAGTATTACAGGGAATATCATGACTTACATGATTCTTTTTTAAAATATAATTTTATTCTTAATTATTAATTATTTATAAAGTATTATAATATTAGTAAAATACTTATAAAGTATTATTAAGTATTATGATACTTAATAATACAAACTAATACAGACTAAACTTAGAGAAAAAAAAGAATAGAAAGAAGAAAAAGTGCAGGAAAGAAGAAAAAAGAAAGAGAAGAAAGAATATAATAAAGAAATGAATTTCAAACTTCATCACAATAAACATAAATAAATTTAGCAATTCTTCACTAAATAATTTTACAAAAAGCTAATCCTTCATTTCATATTCTTTACCTTATTTGTAAGCAAATCCATAAAACATCAATTTTTCACTCTTGGCGTTGGTAAAAATTGCACAAAGAGTTGCCATATTTTGCACACAAAAAAAGTATTTCATTGTGATGAAATAAACTTATTCTATACTCCTTTCTTTTATTTCTAACAGTCTTAATTCAATCAAATATTGTCATAAGATTTTATTTGTCTTCAATTCTTCTTAATTCCATTGCACAGTTTTTCTTCAAGACTTTAACAAATCTCTTTTATAAGAAAATATTTTCTCGGTCATTCTCTTGGTTTATCACTTGTATTTTCCTTTTAATTTTAAAACTTCAACCAGTTTCTTTTGCACTTTCTCTGTCTTGTCAGCTAATATTGTTCCATGTCTGTCATTCCTTCATTAAAATCTTTTGGACATTGTCTATTCGCAGAAGCATAAATCCTGTTGTAGTTACAAATTCTGGCTCCGTTCTCCTAAGATCTCCTTTCATATTTTTAATATTATAACATTTTGTAACTCTCAGTATTAGCCAACATCAAGAGCAGGCTTCCATTTCTAATATATTGATTTTAAAAGCTATATTAACCTTAATTTTATAACACCAGAGAAAGCTATGCTATTCAAAGCTCAAAGAATGCCATTCTAGTTTGAATATCTTATTTCTTAGCAGTAACCACTCCGTCATCCAAATCAAAGAGTGGGCTTCAAGTACAATTTCATGCAATCCCAATCTTCCTCCTTCCTTTGTAGCTTGGATGATCTTACATTTAAGCCTTGGCAAGGTGGCTAGCATAGATGTTTAATAATAAAAACCTGGACTTTTTCTTTTATCATGCAAACCTAGATATATTTTTCTGCCATTGTTGAAATGGTACAGCAGCTGTCTCAATAGGTATTCTCTGAAACAAAAACATCATTTTAGGCAGTAAATTCATTTTTATCTTGTAATTTCTCCCATCTTTCATGTCCATTTTAATTTAATTTCCTGTCTTAACATACTGTAATTATTCTGAAATAACATGCAATTTATATTAGTCACAGTAACATCCAAGCATTTCAATTTTGTCAGTCTTAAATCCATTGTTCTCATTCTTTTTGCTCTTCCAGATTCCTGTTTTTGTTTATATTTTCATTATCTAATTATTAATTTTAAATTCGACTAATGCACTACAATCCTTTAATTTTCCATTAATATTTCTACTCCTTTGAAAGAATTTTCAAATATTATCACTATATCATCAGACAACACTCATAATTTATGTTTCCCTTTTAATCATCATTCCAGCAATTATTTCATCTTGTTTTATGTCTCCATTCACTACTTCAAAAGCTAAAATGTAACAAGGGGTATCCTTGACTTCTCTCTCTTTTTCTGTATTTCGCAAGGTTTTGCTAATTTTCTACTTAAAATTATTTGTGCCTGTTGCAAAGTATAAATCAATTTTATTCATTTAACAAAATTCTCGCCAAACTCCATATCTTCCAAAAGTTAAACAGGAAAGCCCAGTTATCAAAGGCCTTTTCTGCATTTGAAAAGATCAAAGAAGACTTTTTTTCAGTATTTTGTTTTAAGTATTCCAAAATATCCAATACATTTCTTTTGGATAAAATTATCTTTATTAATATTAAAGTTATTTTAAAAAATATTATCCTTGGGTTAAAAACCCACACTGATCTTCACTATAGAAATCAATATAATAAATAACTATAGCTATCTGTATATCTATATATCTCAACTTCTAATAAATAATGTATCTCACAGTCCCTGATGAGTAAATAGACATTATTTATGTATATCTATTTATATTTTCAACAATATGGAAATGATTTCACATTCTTCTTTGAAGACAACTCAAATAAGCATCAGAATAATGAGAAAATTTGGAGTTTTTGCTGAATGATTTTCTTTTCTTTTATAATAGGTGAAATAAAAATGAATGCACCAAGACCAGAAGCTAGTGATAATGATACCCAAGCAAACCTTGGAAAATTCAGCAGAATTGCTTCAGGAGGTAGTTTTGTAATGTCAGGAGTGACTCCTGGAAATCCTTCAGATGTCTTTCCACCCTCTCGAATTACTGATCTTGAAGCAGAACTCAATGATGAGGATGAATTCCTTTTGTCATGGACTGCTCCTGGAAATGACTATGATATAGGAACAGGTAATATTTTCTTTCCTATGTTAGGCAGAAGAAATCATGCTAAAGGAGGAACAAAATGCTACTTGTTACTAGCTCCCAAATTTAAATCTTTATAGGATTTTCCTTATGGGATAAAATTGGGTGAATACAATCTAATTTAGCACATAGGGTGATTTCAGTTTAAATGAGATGCATTTGCCTTAAAATATACCCCAGAACCATTTGTGTGCTTGTTGCAAAGATTTAAAAGATATCAGTTCCCAAGTATTGTGAAGAATTTGTCTTAATGTGTCCTTGAATATTTTTATTTTTTCCAGCTGAAAAATATGAAATAAAAATGAGTGAAAATCCTGACGAATTAAGAGATACTTTTCAAAATGCTGCTTCCGTGAACACATCTGATCTGAAACCAGATGCTACTGGGATCAAACAGTCATTTCAGTATAAGATGGAAAACTTCACAAAAGAAAATGGCACTGCAATTTACTTTGCCATTCGTGCCAGTGATGGCAGCAACAATGTTGGGGAAGTGTCTAATATAGCAAGAGCAGTTGTACTTCTTCCTCCATTGCTCACTACTCCTCTCACACCCACCAATCCTAGCTCTACTCATCCCACACCAACCAATCCTCCTAGCTCTACTCATCCCAAACCAACCAATCCTTATACCTCAAAAGCCACTTCTACTTTGGAAGTTCCCAATAATGAATCTCCTGGTGTGATAAATATGGTGACTTTAATTGTTATAATAGTGTGTATTGCTCTAATTATCATTTGTGCTTGCATATGTATAACTATATGTGTTTTACATAAGCAAAAAAAGGTTAATCCACAAACTGTAATGTAGGAAGAAATAAGATCAAAACTATAGAATGGAAGGACAAATAAATACAATCTATGATGGTTACATGAACGTAACAACCTGTGTTTATGTATTTAGACAACCAGTTAATATTATCAGTCATAGATATAGATTTTTGCAGTATCGTTGATTCTAAGAGTTGAAAGGAAATTGAATCACTATCCACAGCTATAGGGTAATATTTTAAATTTTACAAGACACCCGGAATCATCTATGTGTGAATTGAGTGGATATATGTAAATTTAACATAAAGCCAATCTGAATTAAGCAACCTCAAAGGCATCATTATTAATTTCATCTATGCTGATTTATGAGAATAAGTTCTATGTTAGGTTTAGGTTACAAGATATTATTATAATGGAGTCTGATTCAGCTTTACACTGAAGTATTTTTTTATGAGATGAGAAAGATTAAATTAAATTAAATCAAGTTTCTGAAGGAAGAATTTAGATGAGTTGAACATGTTGAATGGCTAAAATGACAACTTTTTAGGAATTATGAATTTTACAGACTAAGAAATCTGGAAGCAGCAAAGGTGGGGGATTTGGGATAAAATAATTATAGAACAATGATGTTCATATAATTTAGTAAAATTGCCAAATACCCAATCATTATATTGCACCATAATATTCTACACTAGACTTTAACTAAATGGAAGATGGCTTAGCAATTCTGATGCCTACCAACAGGGACAAAATTGCTTCTCCTAAATATTGGTAAATAAGTAAGACTGATGTCAAAATATTTTTTTTAACAAACATGTTTGGTAGAGAGAGATTTAGAAGAATCATATGAGACAAAAAAAATCAATGTTCCATTTGAACAATTTTATTTATTTGTAGTTGTTTATTCAATGTATTCAGTCTCCGTTCCATGGGTAACTAACCAGGATTAAAAACAAAATAAAAACAACAAATCACTAAATAATAGAGAGAGTAGCCAATGTAGAAAACCAACTAACTCATCAATCAACAGTTGCTCCAGTCTTTCTGAAGTTTAATAAAGAATAAATTTAATTGATTCTCAAACTTGGTTACCATTGTGTGTCTGATTGCTACATTAATAGCCTTTGGTATATTTGTGAAGAAGTATATCAAACTGTTTTGTTTTTGCAGGTATAATTCAAAATTGTGGGCAACATGAAAATGGATGTGGTTATGACTACCATCCTGACATTGTCAGGTTCCGAAAGGAAGGAAAAGTCACCAAACACAAACCTGGTGTGTCAAAATTCTTTACTCTGGTTCCAGCACAGGCTGACAATCACAGCTGGCAAAACACAATGAAATACTATTTAGGGCAGATTGCCTTATGCTCCTCATTGCCTTTAAAACTTGTGCCGCCCCATCCTATCACAAACACAGTCCCGTCCCACATGACCCCGGACATTTCTGAAGTGCAGACGCCAGTCTCCTAGCTGGACCGATCACTGCAGTTTCTTTTAAAATGTTTAAGTGATTAGCTATCTCTTCACTGGCTCGCAGCTCAGCTGCAATGCTCTGCAGCACAGCGGGGATGACATCATGGGGCGACCGCTGCTCAGCTATGGGGATGGTCACTCTGTCTCCTGCTGTTCCTGGTAACGGCAGCCCCTTCCTGGATGTCTGCCATGGCTGCCGTCCCGCAGCCCTGTATTGACATTCCCTGAAGATACCCCTGTATTTCTGTCCTGAATCCCCAATTTCTCCTTTGAAAATAACACCCTCAGAATTTGCAATTTGAAGCATGTAAATGCAAGTAGATAAGGTATCACTTTGGTGGAAATATTTTATATCTGCTCATTACCTATCTACCCATCACTGTGTAGAGCCATTTCTTTGGTCTTTTCAACTCTTCATTCTCATGCTTGCATACTGAAACTCTAGCATCACCATAGACCCGCCATGTTTCACCAGCAGTCATTCAGCANGGCGCGCTTTAGTGGACCGCGGTTTTGACGGGTTACGATCCTAGAGGTGGTTATTAATTAGAAGATTTAACCTCTACTCCATTGCATGCCCCTCTGCTAGCTTAATTATTGCTTTGTTAATTTTGTTGTATTCATTATCTTCCTGTTTTAGTCTTTTATAATATTGTTTTATTGAATGACAGAGAGATGGGTGATGAATAAATTCAATAAATAAATAAATATACCAATAAATTGGCAACTCTGGCAGCAAATTATTGCCCTTCATCTTCTGCTCCACTTTAAATATAATGGAAATATTTTGAAACCTGGGAACCTATTCATAAATACATGCTGTGAATCAGCAGAGTGTATATAATTGCTATTGTGTGTTTTTCCCCATGTGTTTTTTCTGCCAAAGAGAGAATTTAAAAGTTGAAATTATTTTGAGTTCTCTTTTCTCTTCTCAGAGCAATAAACTCCTGCTGGGTTATTTACTTTGGGAAAACGTGCAAAAATGAAAGAGTGTTGATTCTTGTCACTACTGAAAGTGTCACATTCTATTGACACTTTTATACATATGTCCATATGTATAAAAGCCCATATGAGTATAGACCAGTAAGATATGACAACAGTTATAGAAAATGGTATATATTGTATTTGAAAAGCCATGCATGCCTATTTTAACATTCTACCTAAATACAACAGAAGAGAGGATTTTTTTTAAAGTAATATGAAAATAAAAAAACTAAATGAGTAAATTGAGACAATCTTTTCTATTTTTTTCTGTTTTTGCTGATCAATTTATATTGCTCATATCTTGAGAAGTGCTTTTGTTTGTTTAATCAATATAGTTTACAGAAGAGAAACTTGGGCAAGCAGAGAAGACAGAATTCGATGCTCACCTAGAAAATCTTTTGTGTAAGGCAGATTGTACAAAACAATGGACAGAAAAGATTATGAAACAGACAGAAGTGTTGTTGCAACCAAATCCAAGTAAGAGCAGAACTTTATTTCTCTTTTGCCATTATTTACATTTTGATACATTCTACATGCATATATAATGTAACCTGAATTATTAACTTCTGAGGAACTAGCACTTAATTCTTCATGAACCCACATGTCATCTTTTAGTTGTACAAATATATACAAATAATGCAATAATTACAGAACTTAAAATGTTAACTTAAAACTATAACACTAAGCTTACAATTTTGCAAAACAAATTGATTCAAAATAAAGACCAAACTTATAATTTCTTAAGTGATTAGGATGAAATAAAATTGATAGTATAACTCTTTGAATGTCAGAAATTCAAAGTTTGTTGAAGCAGAAATAACCAACTAATTATTCAAAGCTTTATGCTACTTTAATATAACTAAACTTAATTCAATGCTACAGTTCTGAAAATTGATTTATTAAAAGCCTTTCTTATTAGATTTGTGCCTGCCCGAGCTTTCATTGAGTAGCTCAAGACAGCATTTAGCACTCTTTCCTCCAACTATTCCTCACAGCATCAACCCTTTCAAACAAGTTGGGCTGAGAGAATGTGACCAGCCCAAAGTCAGCCAGTGAACTTATATCATTGAAGTAGAATTTTAACGTGGTCTTCTTCCTTCCCTTCCCTTGCCATCACATTGTACTGCCCTTCAGCAATAATTTATTTGATTATATTATTATTATGGGGGCACGATGACTGAGTGGTTAGAGACATTGAGCTTGTCAGGTGGAAAGCTGACACCCTGGGTTTGGGACCGAGCACTGTACAATGGGGTAAGCTCCCATCCTTGCCCCAGCTCCTCCCACCTAGCAGTTTGAAAGCATGCAAATGTGAGTAGATAAATAGCTACCATTTCAGTGGGATAGTAATAGTTTTCCTCAGCATATAGTTATGCTAGCCATATGACCACGGAAAGAGTCTTCGGGCAACTCTGGCTCCTTCAGAGATGAGCCCCTCCTCCGAGACTTCTACATGACTAGACGGGAAACTTTTATTATTATTATTACAAAATATACAAGTTTGGTTATATATGTAGTCGTCAAGTTACAATGACAATTGGGGCCAGGATTTCCATTGTTAAGTGATGTGATCATAAAGTATGTCATGTGACCACATTGCTTAGCAATGGCAATCCCAGCAGTCCCAGTTGCCATTATAACCCCAGATTGTGCAGATCATTGAATGGGAACAGGTGGGAGTCCTAGGCAGGTAATGCAAGAGAGAGCATGGTTGCCATGGTGGGTGGGTGGGCGCAGGGTGCAGGTACTATACAGTGAGTAGGTGGCTGGTGAGGGTGCTACAGGTAAGCACTACAGAGTGAAGGTGGATGAAAAATCAACAGGAATGACTTCCAATTTCCTGCCATCTTCCCCATTCACTTTGCTTGTTAGAAAGCTGGCAGATAACATCAGAAATTGCAATCATGTAACACGGCTCCAAATTGCAAGCCACCCAAGCACCCAGATCACATGACTATTGGGACACTATGATGGCTGTTTCTCCAAGAATTGAATAATAAATCCCATTTGTTCAATGCTGTAGAACTATGAATAGTTGCTGAATGATTGGATGCAACCCAGGGTCAGCTTCTCAAGTAGACCAGACAGGAAATATGACAGGATGAACTAATTCTAATTTAATGTAAGGCTACATTTACAAAATCGGCAAGCCTGAAAGTACAAGTCTCCTGCTATCTTTTTTTACTCATGATAAATTAGTATGGATTTTATTTAAGTTTCTTTTTTTGTCTGTTACTTAATTCTGGGCTTTTCATTTTAGCTGATCATTCCCTAGGCAATATATTTCTTCTCACCTCACCACCCCCACTTCCAAGCTCATTCTCACATTTCATTCCATCCAAGAATTTCCTGTAACAAAGAAATGTTATGTTTTATTTTTTTGCCAGATGCTAGAATAGAAGAATTTGTTTATGAGAAACTGGATCGCAAAGCACCAAGTCGTCTGAATAATCCAGAACTACAGGGCCAGCATATGATTGACGCTGGAAATGAATTTGGCCCAGGAACAGCATATGGCAAGTTGCAGCTATTAGTTTATATGACTGGAATGACGGGAATGAAGTTAACTAGATACTACTTCTATGATGAATAATTTATCTTCATTGTTCTGAAAGTGTTCTATACCTTTACATTTTGAAGCTATGTGCTGGGTACTGAAAATAATATTTTGAACATTCTATAAAAATTGTAGTATTTAAATATGTAATAATACACAATAAAGGATGTTTTGAATAAATGGTGTCAACAGTTCTAAGTTAAATACCTATAATATGTCTATATTGCTACTTATATTGCTATTAAACCAATCAATTTTTAATTGCAGGAAATGCTCTTGTTAAATGTGGAGAAACACAGAAAAGAATTGGGGCAGCAGACAGAGAACTAATACAGACTGCTGCAATAAACTTCCTTACGCCTCTTAGAAATTTTATTGAAGGAGACTATAAAACAATTACTGTAAGTTATTGATATAATTTCTTAATGAAACGTGACGTAATTCTGAAAGGTCAAATAAATGATTTTTATTGTTGTAGTTGAGCATTTGGAATCATTATCAAGAAATGTAACACAATCTCTGATATGCAGCCTTCTGTGATAAAGAAGGAACAAGAAATTGAAGTAGTTACGCTATTTCATTTTTGTGAAATGAAACTGAATCTTTTTCACATTTTCTCCAAAATAATAATGCTTTGGGTTTGTTTTTTTTTCCAGAGAGAACGCAAGCTATTACAAAATAAAAGGCTAGATTTGGATGCTGCCAAAACTCGACTGAAAAAGGCAAAAGTAGCAGAGGCACGTGCTTTAGTAAGTAGGATCTGCTTCTTAAGAACTTCACAATACATAATTTTGTATTTAATTAACATTTTGTCTCGGTTCTTCACATTCCAGACATTGCTGCTAATAGCAGAAAGGATAGACAACGTTCACTCATTTGCCCTTACTCTCTTTTATAGTCATGTAGACCTTTGAAAAAGTCTGTGCAGGTTTTTGGAGCCCACAAAGTATTTATTTATATATTANAAAAAATTAAATCCCACCACTGATATCATCATAATGATATTATTTGAATCCTGTTTTCTCTTTTCTGACCTCCCGTGGCAAACTATAAATATGTAGAAATCATTCATTTTCTGGTAAAGTTCTGTTAGTTGCATAATTTCCAATACAACTAGAACTATGTTAAACTTTTTTCTGCCCCACCCTTAAAATGCTACCCTGTTTCCCCAAAAATAAGACCTCCCCAAATAATAAGCCCAATTGGGCTTTTGAGTGAATGAGCTAAAATAAGCCGTCCCCCGAAAATAAACCCTCCCCGAAAATATTGCAACACAGCAACAGCTATGAGGTGACCACACTCGCCACTTCCTGCACCTCAAAAAAAAAAAGATCTCCCTGAAAATAAGGCCAAGTGCTTATTTTGTGGGTCAGAAGAAAATAAGACCCTGTCTTTCTTATTTTCTAGGAAACAGTATTATATATTAATATTAAATCTTCCATTTGGTTTTTATGATATGTTTCTGATCTCTTTTCTTAAATATAAACTAATGATGGAAGCAGGGTAATAGTAATGTTTTCTTTTAGTTGCTGGTAACACTGTGGCCATGTCTGTAGTTTTCTGGGCACCAATAAGAATGGTTTGCCAATGCCTTCTGTCATTATTGATTTTTCAGTCTAGCCTATAGTTCCAGAGTTTTTTAAAGGCTCCCTATCCTGATCCTAAACAGAATTGATCTGCTTTACATTTTGAGGTGAGCCTTCATTGGCTAAGTACGGTTTATTTATTGATAGCATTAATAGTTAATTATGCAAATCTTGACTTAATTCATTGTATGATATTAATAGTTATATATAGGGATAGAATAACAAAATGAAAAGTATGCTGATGTCATAGTGGTTTTGTCACCCCGATTTTGTAACATACCTTTCCCTATATTGCCGGCATTTCCTACCGAGATCAATTTTATTCCAGCATATGTTCAGCCCTGAGTTTAGTTGGATTTGTTTTGTGGATATCCAATCAATTTAATGTTTAATATTATTGTAACTTATTGTATACTGGTTTTTTATTTTGTTTGCTTTGACTTTGTACCTTGTCCAGAATTCCTTAGAAATAGCCTAATCCTAGGCTATGCATATTGTAAAGTAAACATGCTAAAGAACATTTAAGACTAAGTCAACTCATTTCCAAAATACCAAATATTTTGGCTGAATTTTTCACAACTAAGGAACAGTATAGGGGAGAGGGAGAGGGGGGGGAGAGAGAGATGGTTTTACACATTTCTTTTTATAATATATACTGTATTTTATTTACAATTGTTTAGATTGCAATGAACTCAGAAGAGAGAGGGTGGAAAACAGGCAATATGCAAAACAGATGTTTGCTCAGCTCGTCTCTTGCTTTTTTCATTCAGGCCATCAACACTAATGGCTCTTTGCAAAATCTCCAAGTTTATACTATTTTTTATTTATAGATATATGCGGTATTGAAAGCTGCTCAGAGATAAAGCAATGCCAAACAGATTGCATTGCATATCCCAATGTCACTAGAGATCATCCACGAGCATCTATATACTACTAAAACTCTTGTGTTTGATTGTGACCTTCAATTGGGTGAAACAGTGCAATGTAGGTCACTGGTATTTTAATCAACATACCTCTAACAGGCTAACTTACAAAATGTAGGACCCATGACTCCTGTAGGATTGACATTTTGCAAAGTTGTGGTTGCTGTTACACTCAGCCATGGTCATATGATCATCATTTCCAATATACCCTGCCAGCTTTCTACAAGGAAAGTCAATGAGGAAGTCAGAAGTCACTCCCATTGCTTTTCTGCCGTGCTCATGGTCATTCTGTTTCTCCGATTAGGTAAGGATATCTCTCTGAAATGATGACCCAATGAGTAACCATTGTTTTGTAATCTTGGTGGCATACATAGGTCTGAATTAAGAATGGAATTAGTTTAGAAAATCTGTTTCCCCAGGGCTTTCTGCAGCTGTTGCCCCAAAGTTGTCTCAACAATTTTCCCTAGAAAGGACTGGTTGGAGATTAATGGATAGTTGTCCTGAATTTCCAGTCTGAGCTATCGTGTCATGAGAAAGAGGTATACTACCACCTTCTCCTAAACAAGCAACATCATCTACTCTTTCAAAGATGCAATTAGCAGTGTACCAACCCATCACTGAGTCATGCCTTGGAGCCCTTGCCAATCAGAAAATGAAAAGATCCAGATTACAGATGTCCCCATTCTTCAAGCTAATTGCTAAAGATTAATATAAATAAAAGTTAGCATTTTTCTTAAATACGAGTGTTTCTTTAAATTACTGTATTTTTTGGAGTATAAGACGCAGCAAGGTTTTGAAGAGGAAAATTTTTAAAAAAGTTTTTGCACTCTGCAAAACCTCCCTGTTTGTTTTTTCCAAAAAAGGCATGAATAGCTCTTAGGAGGCTTGTAGAGTACTCCTGGAGGTGCCCCCCCCCAACCAAAGAGCAAAAACCAGCCCGTTTTTCTCAAAAATGGACCAATTTTTGTCAAAAAAAAAAGGTCATGGATAGCCTTTAGGAGGCTTATAGAGTGCTCCTGGGGGCTGGGGGACAGCCTTTTTTTACTCATTTCTGCTCTCCCCAGCCCCCAGGAGCTCTCTGAAAGCCGTCTACAAGCTGTGCACGGCCATTTTGATGTAGGGGGTGGAGTTTCAGGAGGCAAAAAATGCTGTATTCAGTGTATAAGACACACCCAGATTTTCAGCCTCT